TATAAACTTACTAAGCAACACACATCTGAGAGTGATTTCATTTGCTTTAATTTTTGTTCTCCCTAATGCTCTTAAACATTTTATTGCCTTAGGGCCTTACACCTGCAAGAACTTATGCATGTGACTAACTTGTGGCTTTTAATAATACCAATTGAGCCACTCTCATTGAAGTTAGCTGTGATTATAAGTGTCTGCAGGATTATGCCCTTAATTTATATTAATTTTTTGTAAAGTAGTTCATAAAGACAATCTGATCGTGCAGCAAAATGACAGTTTGCCTTTATCCATTTTTTGGAAGGGGAAGGGTTTGAATGTGGTATATATGTGACTTTTTTACTTTGCACTTTTCTCATATGTTATCTTACCTTTTATTGTGGTTTTTTTGGTTATCCTTTGTCTTGAAACAGTATTTTTGAGGAACAAGTGAGGGTGGCACAGGAGTTCTATTACAACGAGCTGGGAATGCAAGAAAAATAAACAGAAATGTGGAAGATGGTTGCATGCTTCTAATCTTCTATGTATTTTCCTCTTTGTGATAAATGATACTTAAATAAATCTTTTACAAAATGTTTACCCGTAGTGTTGGCTGATCATTTTAGTGACTTTTTCATTTAAGTGCTTCAGTGTGCTGCAGACAGTCCAGCATACGTAGTTGCAGGTTTAGTGGTTGATCCATGCTTCAGTAGAAGTCCTTATGTGGCTGGAAAACTTGGATTCTCTCCAACACACAGTCCTGTGTTAAAGCCTTTGCATTTCAAGTACTTGGATGACTTCCCCTTGTCTGATTGGTACTTACCCATGAACTGGGAAAAGGGAATTGTACTGGAGGCGTAGCCCTTGGGGAAATCTGATGTCTGGTCAGCTCAGGCATTAAAAGCAGGACAGACACCCAGTAGGACTGCAACATTTACACTGGAAAATGTCCAGAGTTGTTGGAGATATGCCATAACTTAGTGATGTTCTTCTACAATCAACAAAAAAACCAAACCAAAAAACCAAGGTACAAAAAACTTTGCACTCTTCCTCTTTTGTAGCAAGAGCTGTAAAAAGGTAAAAGATTATTTAACGATTTAGTGTGGCTGAAGAAATAAAACACTTTACTGCTTTGGAATAGAAGAGCTACCTGGTGTCAAATTCTGGGAAAATGGATTCAGATTGTTGCAGCATATAATTTCTGGGGTTATTCCTGTATTTTCAATATGTATCTCTGTACACATTTAAAAATGCTCTGTTAGGGCTGTGCTACCAGCAGTAGTTTCCTCTTTTTAATTAACTCAGGTGCCACCTGTGAGAGCACTTTGAAGTGCAGTGGTCTCAGAGCCTCTCTGCCCCATTCTGGCAGTGCTGTCCTGGTGCTTACCCTGAGGGCTACCCGGGGTGGGCCCAGTGCTGCCAGCAGCTGCACTCCTGTTTCCAGATTCTGAGGAGCTGCCCCGGATCTGAGCTCCCACAGAGGCTCCAAACCCAGGGCATCTTTAGATGCTGCCATGGCCTGCTTCAGTGTGACTGGAGTGGGGGGTGTGTAAGACCACTGTGGTTTCATGCCGTATAAGAAACAGTGAAACTGGGTGTTGCTCAAACATGGATTCCAGCACACTCTGCTCTGGGTCCCTCTGCAGTGAGGGAGTGTCTGTGTGTCTGATCATGAGTGGGCAAAGAGCTCCTGCCAAGGGCTGTTTACTGAGACTGTCCTAGTGGGTGGCTGACCATGTGTGTGAGCAGTATTTGACAGCAGCAGGCACTGCCTGAAATTTGTTTGCGGTGTGTGTGCATGTGCTCTTGCTCATGCACACACTGCATGTGTCTTCTGAGAGAGACAAACCATTATACTCTCCTGGAGCCCAGCCCTGTGGCTTTCTCCTGCTTCCAGGGTGGTGGTCCCTCTTCCCTGCCGCTGTTTGCAGCCTTTGGGAATGTGATGGTGGCCTCTTGTACTGTGCTTTCGTGGTAGAACTAGCTGAAGAGAGTCAGTGCCTGCCTGATACTGTACAGCTGGGGGCTGGGTGCTTTCTCTTCTAAATCAAGGCTTCCTGTTCCCCTGAGGGAGGTGATGGGAGAGAGGATGATCCTGCATGTGAAAAACGCCAGTTACTTGTTTTTAGAACTTTAAAAGTTTAATAGTAATAAAATGGTTATAAAAATAGTAATATAATTAGAGTAATAAAAATTTGAACAATTGGGATTAGGACAATGCGAGACAATAAAAGAGTTACGGACAGTCTGGGTACCTCTTTCTGGGCAAAATAAGCCCGAAAAAGGACACACGTTAACAGAGGATTAACCCTTTAAATCAATAGCCTGTTGCATATTCATACGTCTCATACATGATGCATAAATTCCATGCAAACAAAGGATTCTGTCTGGTCAGTGACAACTTCTTCCTCTTAATCCTGACAGCGTCTTCATGGCTAAGCGAGGTGGGAAGAGTTAGTTTCTTCTGATAAGTGAGCAATAAATTCTTTTTCTCTGAAAGATTTAGGTGTCCTGTGGCTGCTATCTCGGTGCAAGTCCTTTCTTTAAAAAGTATCTTACATAGCATAGTTTCTAGTTTAACATTATGTTATAACTTAAAACTGTATTTAACACACTACTTAAAAAAATTAACATAACTTTCTAACAATGCACATATAATATTAATATTTGCGAAAAGCCAGTAATAAAAGACGTATTTTTCACACTGCAGAACAACGAGATACAGATTTGGCAAAAGCGTCTTTTAAAGCTCTGTGCTGGAGATGAGGGTGCCTTTGTGCCTTAAGCCGTGCTTTCCCAAAAGCTCACTGCAGCTTCCTGCAGGCTCTGGTCGAAATGTCCTCGGCCACATTGGGCAACAGAGCGAGCAGCTCCTTGTGCCTCGGTGATCACATTAGGAGCTTTTCCCCACTTCTTTGCAACTACTGGCCTGGAGACAGAAATGCTAAATTAGCCTGGAAGGAGGAACAGTGTGTCAGCTCCCCCTGCGCCCAGCTTTGAGCCCTGCCCCGGCCCTGCCCCCCGTTCCCAACGTTTCTCTCTCCGGTGCTGAGCGCCCGTCGGGGCGGGGAAGCAAG